ATACTGGACGCTGCTTTAGCAACGTTTGATAGAGAAAATCTTCTAGTTTTGTCTGCCATATTAACTTTTCGAATTTGACGAAAATGAAGCAAGTTATGGCTTCGGAAAGTGTAAAAACTCGTGCTCATCATGAATTTTCCTCGTTAATTGATCTAAATTTGTTATTTCTTATAACTTTTTGTAATTTCAGTACTGATTAGAAAGAAGCTCTTCACAAAACTCCCAAATCTGCTTTCAGATTGAAAATTCGTCATATTTGAAGAAAGTTATAATCATTTGAATATTTGTTCAAATTTCAATAGTAGATAAGCTGCTCCACGGTCAACGCCAAAGTCAGTCAACACACAGCTGGCTAAGGCGGTTACAAGGCTTCTTTCAACTGAAAGGGGGACGTGTAAATTGAGAACCATAATCTGTGTAGTACTAGAATTTGGTAAGTCTTGTGAAGGAAATAAATAAAGAAGAGATGTTGTCATAGTATGCCATTTTTAGTGACTAGTTTGTCGTTTTTTGCTCCTTTTCTCGTTTGCTCGTTTGGTAGGACTCATCAATAATGATCATTCTTTGACTTTTTCACTTTTGTACTTCTTAAACGAATTTTTTGGTGGACGGTGGGGTAGCAGGGCTTTTTTATGAACAGTTTTGGGGGAGAATTAAACAACCTTTTCATAGTTCGGCTTTTGAAGAGGGTCGTTTCATGGACTTCGGCCTCTGGGGGAGGGAGGGGGGGTCGTATTTCCAAATTTTCCTCGACGTTCGCTTGACCCTGATCACATCTCTTCACAGGGCGCCTGTACGCAGAGAAGAGCTGTTACTGGAGAGCGGGAGAGGGGTCGTAACGAAGTATACCTTGACGCCTCGCTTGACTCTGTTTCATGGCGCTTTCCAGCATGCTCTGCAGTTAGGCAATAATCTTGCTCCCACGGGAATTTAAGAGTTTGTCGTCCAGGCAAAGGAGCTGAGAATGTAATGAACTTCACGGCTTCTTTTTATCTACATCTAGTTGCAGAAGATTTTTAATATACTATGTGACAACCTGAAGTGATCATTTTTAATCTGTTCGCCATTGTAAGAAACCGGAACGTGTTTCGAGTGCCACAGTACAAAGTAATGGCATCTAACTGATATACCCTTAAACCATATAATTTAGTGCAACAGAAGATAAGCTCTTGTTCATCTGATAAGGCGCCACGCCCTGATATAGCAGCATTCCACCGGGCGCTCGACAGTACAGAGCATTCAACGAAATTTCACATCAGGACGAGTGTAATTCAAAAGCCCCTCTTTCACAAAACTTTACTGATAACGTTTCGGGCCTGAGATTTCCTTCAAATCAATTGAAATACAAAAGCAT